TAGACAGTGTGGGGACCACAGGCCCCCCTCTTGTAGACAGTCTGGGGGCCATGCCCCCCTCCCTTGCACGAACACAGTCTGGGGACCACAGGTCCGGGTCCCCCTCTCGTAGACACAGTGTGGGGACCACAGGACCCCTCTTGTAGACAGTCTGGGGGCCATGACCCCCTCCCTTGTGCAAACACAGTCTGGAGACCACGGGTCCCCCTCTCATAGATACAGTCTGGGGGACACGCCCCCCTCTCGTAGACACAGTCTGGGGGCCATGTCCCCCTCTCGTAGACACAGTCTGGGGGCCATGCTCCCCTCTCGTAGACACAGTCTGGGGGCCACGCCCTCCTCTCGTAGACAGTCTGGGGGCCATGCCCCCCTCCCTTGTGCGAACACAGTCTGGGGACCACGGGCCCCCCTCTCGTAGACACAGCCTGGGGGCCCCCTCCTCCTGTGGACACAGCCTGGGGCTGCGGGCCGTGGTGCCGAAGGCCGCCCCCCGCTTGGGCTCATCCGCCATCACTCAGAGCCAGGCGCTGCGGCTGGTGCCCTATTTCCTGAGACAGCGCACACGGCAGGCGGGCGTCTGAGGCCCCAGGACGCACAGAGGGCCGCTGCTTCTGGCGCAGACTGTCGCCTCTCAAGTTGGGGGTGGTCAGACAAGGCTCCGCGGCCTCCCTGCCGCGGCAGAAGTGGGGGCCGGGCAGGGGAGCTTTGTTTGCTGCTGGTAGCCTGAGGACAGCAGGGCCCGTCACGTGCAGGCAGGACTCGGCTCCCGGGGCAGGCGGCCCGCGGGTCCCTCGGCAGGGTCCCCCCAGGTGGACCTGGGCGCTGCCCCGCCTGTGCCCAGCCGCCGGCCCACCTGGGGGGAGGAGGCTGTGGGCAGTTCCCAGGTGTGAGGAAATGAATCCTCTTGTTAGAAATTCACGAACCAAAACATCCTATAAACACCCGGCTTGCAACTATCAGACTCCCTGGCCGGTTCCCAGGGAGAGGGCGGCCCCCGCCACGCCCACCTCCAGCACCCCCATTCCCAGATCTGACCCGCGGGAGGGGCGGCCCAGATAAGGCTCCTGGCGGCCGCAGGAGGGAGAGCCCGCGGGGGGACAGGGAGGCCCCTGCGCCGGCATCTCGGGGGCATGGACGGGGCGGGCTTGCGGCGAGCGGGAGGCGCAGGTGGGAGCCAGAGGACGCCGGCCGTGCCGGCTCTCACCCGCAGACCGGGGCTTCTCCCTGTGGGTGTCTGTCCCCTCATCCAACACACACATGGAAATGAAGACAAAGAGAAGCTCAGCCTCGCCAAGTGAAGCAGGGCCCCGTGCCACGGGCCGCCGCGCCCAAGGAAGCAGGCCCGCG